GGCCCCTGGGTTCAGCACAGTGCAGCCATGGAAGGAGCAGGGGAAAGCCTCTCCCCACCACTTGCACCCCACAGTAGGTTTGTCCCCCACTCCGGGGCCCTCTCCCAGCCATCCTTCCAGGAAACTCCGCCTGCTGCCTCAGGCACAGAGAGAGACCTGTGAGTATCCTCGCCAGCCCTTGGCAGAACCCCAGCTCAGGCAACCTACGGTGGTGCTAATTAGCTTAATTAACCTGGCCCCGAGGGAGCCGCCCCAGTTGGAGGCCAGAACTCCAAGTCAGCTGGGATCAGGCCCAGCCAAGTCGGAGCCTCTGGTCGGCCCTTCTGTCATGAAGAAAAGAAGTTACTGTTGTCTTGGTCCTCGCTGCAGGGCTTTATTTATGATTTTTCTTTCTCTTTTCTAACGTAAGAGCTTTAATTCCACAACATGAGAAAACCCAAAGCTCAGGCAACTTGGGCGAATTAGAGATTCTGTCCAGTGCTGTCAGTCAGAAGGTCGAGAGGAGGGTATGTTCTTCCGGTGGTTTTCTTCATTTGTGTTTTGCACCGTAAAATACTCACAGGGGGAAAAATAGTACAAAAGGTTTGCAGTGAGAACAGCCTCTGCGCCCCTGGCCCCAGCCACCGCGTCCCCCTCCCCAGAAGCAGCCATTGTTTCCTTCCTTCTGCATCCTTCCAGAAACCGGCCAGACTGACCAGGCTGCGGGACTGTGCGCTTCCCCCACCCCCCCTTATGCTGTGGTCACCTCCTGTCTCTGCGCTTCTGCCTTTATCTCTTGCCCTTTTCTGTCACATAGCTTGGGGACGGTTCCGTATTAACAAATCGAAGGTGATCTCATTCTCTTTAACCATGGGAGATGGTTAGGTTTTGACAGTCACAGAGACCAGAGATCTTGAGAAAAAGGAAGAACCTGTACAAGCCCCATTTTTTTTCAACCTGGAATTAATGCCATTTTAAAGTAGTGCTTAAAATTTGCAATTTAGAGAACACATTGGAACATTCTTTAAGAAGAAAGAGATTGAGAGCAAAAATGATCAGTCTGACTCTCCAAACTGAATTTTGTCATACTTTTTCCCTTCAGACACATCACGGCAGCCCACTAATAGTGTCAGGCCATGGAAGCTGCAGGAGACGAGACAGGTGCAGATGCGAGGGTCAGGGAGAACGTTCTAGCATGATTTCTTCCGGCGAGCCAGCCTCCACTGTAGAGTTAGGAGCGTGCGCTAGTCCTGGCAGTCCTGGGGTCTGAGAAGGAGATCTTAGCACATGAACACAAACTAAATGGTGTGGAAGGAAGACTCATGTTCTTATGGCTTACCTTTCAAAGTGTCTCTATACTTTTTCCTGTTTTTAAAAAATCATTTAAGCTTGTCTTAAAGGGAGGAAGAAAGAAGGTAGGGAGGGTGCTTGGTTGGTTGGTTGGAAGGTTGGTTCCACGTGGTGCACATTTGACAACTACATGTAACTGCCTAGGATGTGGCAGGCCCCGTTCCCGACACTGGTCACAGAATGTAGAAGGCTGCAGGTGAGGACAGGGACCACAAACGTGCAGTACACACGACAGATTATCATGAGGTGAACGCAGTAGGAAATAGCACAGGACTGTGTGACCAAGTGTGCCCGCCTGGGAGGGAGCAAGCACCAGAGCGTAAGTGGTCAGGGGAGGCCCCTCGGCAGAGGTAACATTTGAGCTAAGCTGGGCGGGTGAGGAGCTGCCATTCGTGGGGAATGCTGGGAGGGCACGCCGAGCAGCAGGACCTCGCCTAGTCTGCTGAAGGAACTTTGGGAGGCCTGTGTGGAAGGTGAAGGTGGGGCTGGGGGTGGGCAGGACAGTTGTTTGGGACCTTGTGGGCTGTGGTGAGGAAGGTTTTTAGAAAGTGAATTCTCCACATATCTGGTTTTGGAGCTGAGTGTGGTGAAATTCAACATGTGGAGCTAAGCTATGTGCAGTTTTATTTTGTAAAAATGATTTCACACTGTAAACAGCACTTCTTCATTCCCGTGACCTATTTATCGGGGTGAACCTCTTTCCACGTCGTGGATTTTGGCTCCACTCCTCAGCCGCTGGACGGTCTGTTCCCTGGGGCCCCGCCCTTCCCTTGCTGGCTGCTCCTGCGTTTGCTCCAAAGACGGGACCTTGTTCAGGGCACACGGGGATCGATGCAGGGCTTTCTGCAGGACACGTTCCCAGAAGTAGGGCTCCTAGGGCGCGGAGAGCACATTTTAAGGTTTTCAGCAGGCCTGTTACACCCCTTCCGGGGGGGGTGGCTCGTGGACGGCGCCCCTCTCTCACGCCGAAGGCCTGGCCTGCCCTCTCCCCGGGTCGCTGGGCAGAGCACGAGGCATGCCTCGCTCTGAGTCACACGCTCCCCTGTGCAGGACGTTCTGGGAAATGGAGGAACCTGAAGGGAAGGGACAAGGGTAGGTCCCCTTCCAGCTCCCATGGGAGGAGCATTTTCTCTTCGAGGTGTATAAGTCTCTCTCTTTGCGTCTTTCTGTTTCGCTCTTGGATCTAAAGCTCTTCATTTGCCCAGAGGCACGCCAACAGAACCAGAATTACCCTAGACCTGGAATTCTAATTTGGGGAGGAATATGACCTAACAAGAAAAAACTTGCCACCCTCTCTTCCTCCCTTTGTTAAAATCCCAGAGCTGGCAGCTGAGAAAATGAGAAAGAAAATGTAGACTTCAAAACCCTCAGGAGCCCGAGAATCTTATTTCTTTATAAGTTCAAAGATTCTTTTTTCTTTCTTAAGTTAAAAATGATGAAGTCTAGATGTCAGCTTTTTAAAAACTAGTTTTTATCATTATTGTTATTGTCATAACACGTGATTATGGTAAAATAAATTCAGACAGTTCAGGAGGGGGCATCAGATGAAAAGTAAAAGTCCGTTTTTCTACCTTCTAATGACTCCTGCTTCCCAGAGGTAATCGTTGTTCATTTCTTCCAGAATTTTTTCTGCATGTAAAAGTGTATGTTTTTAACCAAATGTGATTCTGTCCCACACGCCATACATCTTTTTACGTGCCGTCTCTGTGATGTCAACATGGCAGTGAGCACAGCAGTGCCCTGTAGGCTCTGCAGCCTGGCGGCCTTGGTGGGAATCCCGACTCTTCCACTCAGAGGCTGTACGATTTGGGATAAGTACTGTATAGTCACTTTACCTCTCCATGCCTCAGTTTCCCATCTGTGCAATGGGCGATAGTAACAGTGGCTCGTGGGGAGGGCTGCCGTGCAGGTTTGGCAGTGTACGTGGAGTCCTCGGGGTGGCGATGGTGCCTGCTGCACGGTGAGGGCTGCGTTCCTGTTCGCTGTTGCTTTTTCTATCCTCGGCGTGGTGACACCTCAGGTCAGGGACCCAGTTTTCACCAGGGAAGTAAGACCTGAGCCCAAAGGCCAGAGTCGGAAGGAGGGGAGAGGCCTCGGGAAGTCCCCGGAGTGGAGGACCCCGCGCCCCAGGGGCGGGCGGGAAGCTGTGGGACAGTGGCCTGTGGAGCCAGCAGAGGGGGCAAGGGAGCAGGAGGAGGGGTGCGTGCAGCTCGGGTGCCAGCCAGCCTCAAGCAAACCGTTAGAAGAGCAGCCGTCACTCAAAGCACTGGACGAATGTTTTGAGGTGAACCCCCCAACACCGTGAGGTCAGCGTGTTTTCCTGATGAGCAAACCACAGATCAGAGGTGATGGGACTTGCTCAGGGTCACACAGAGCCAGGAATCAACCCCAGGCCTGTCTGCATCCAAGTCTCCTGCGTTTTTAACCCCAGGCTGCGCCTCTGGCTTGTGGACCACAGAGTGTTCCAGAAGGCACTGCGGGGTCCGCTTTGGGAACGCTGAAGAAGAGGGCGGTGATCAGAGTGACCCAGGCTCACAGACCTACTTCTGGAGTGGGAGGCCGAGTGGGCAATGGGGGATGGGAGAGTGTCGGGGAGCTCCAGCCCCCTCCCCCCAGGGTGCAGGTGCCTCGTCTCTGGACCCTCCCAGTCACCTCCTGGCGCATGAACTCTCTTGCCCCATAGGACAGGTGAGGAGACCAAGGCTAGGGAGAGCTGGTGACAGCGGCTGAAACCCCCAGGCCAGAGGTCTGCCACCTGCGGCCCAGCACTTGCCCCTGGGAACCGGTCCCCCCGAGGGTTCTCCCCTGCGAGGCCCCGTCCGTCTCCTGTGGCTGGAAGCCCTGGTCTGGGCCGCCGTCACCGCTTACCTGCTGACTGCAGGAGCGTTCTCACTGTTCCCTGCTCCCACTCTTCTCCCACCGCCCCCCCCCCGCCCCCCGCTGTGAGTTTCGCTTTTCTGACCAGCAACAGAGCCATCCTTCGAAAATGTGCCTCAGGACCCAGCGCTCGCCAGCTCAGAACCTCACAGCCTCCCCGCACACCATCCAAGTCCCCACGGTGGCCCAGGGGTTCCCACACAGTCTGCCTGGGACCCTCCCAGACCTCCCCTCCCACCACCCACCCTCACTCATCCACTCCGCCCTGCGGCCCCCCCCCACCGCCCCCACTCCTCAGGCCCAGCAGAGCCGGTTCTGGCCTCAGCCCAGCGCCAGCCGTTCCCCTGCATGGAGTCCCCTCCTACCCCGTGGGCCCCTCTTTCCTCTCTCCAGGCTTCACTCAGATGTCACCCCTCAGAAAAGCCGTCCTCGTCCCCTTCGTCCCTGTCCATGCACCGGCTTTATTTTCCTTCCGAACACCTCTCTCTCCCTCACGTTCTGGGATCTCTTTCTGTTCATTTGCCCACCGTCGGGCTCCCCAACTGGCGGGCAGCTCCATGTTCTCTGCTGCCCCCATGCCTGCAACAGGTGTGGCACGTAGTCTGCTCCCAGGAAGCACGTGTGGGGCGAGTGAATGGAGAACAAACGGGGTCCGTCTGTCACACCCGCGCCAGGCGGGATGCAGAAGGCCGCAGTCGCTCGCGCGGTGGAACGAGCCTCCTCGGGTCAGGACGTCTTCGAGAAGCAACTTCAGCCACCCCGAGACCCCCGTGACCCCGACCCTCTCATTCCAGGCAGGTGGACACCAACACGAAAAACGTCTTTGGGCAACCGCGGCTGCGGGCGTCTCTCCGTGACCTCCGCTCCCCACGGAAAAACTACAAGTCCACCATCGAGGACGATCTGAAGAAGCTCATCATCATGGACAACCTGGCACCAGAGCAGGAGCGAGACGCGGGCGTGCGTAGCGGGCCGTGTGGGAGGGCGAGGGGGGACGGGCCCCCCCGCGGTCACGGCAGCCTCTTCCTGCCGGGGCTCCATCCCTCGGCCCGTCAGCCCTGTTTGGATGTACGTGGCTTCGTGACCAGCAGTCAGGACATCACAGTGTGAACTAGCTTGGCAGGCACGCAGGGGATTTATTCCTCACTAGTGACCTCAGGGGACTGGAAGGGATGCTGTTACAGGCGCTCATGTCCTCACAGAGCTCAGGGTGGGAGCAGCCCCCACCCACCCAACCACGTGGACCAAGAGTGAGGGGGTCCCACGGGCCACAATAGTGGGCTTCGTTGGTTCCTCTTCCCCTCCGTCCCCACCTACTTGTGATTGGCCATGCTCTCAGGCAGGTACTGTCTTACGGGGACCGAGGTGGCCCCAATCTCTCTAGGGCTCTATCTCGCAAACCATAGCCCTGGGGAAGACAGCACCCTGTCCCCAGCGGTCCCTAGCAACGACTGGCTCTCACTGGGCCAGCTTGGGTCACACCGCCTTCCCTAACCTTAGCTGGAACTGGGGGTGGAGTTGTCCCTCCAGACCCAGATGGGCTTTAAGTGGAGGAAGACGAATCTCCAGGGGAAAATTGGGGTACTCTGACCAGAAAGGGGGCAGAAATGGATGCTGGATGGGAAGAGCCACAGACGTCCGGGATGGGAAGGAGCCCCCGAGGGTGGTGGCCGTGGGGGAGGCCGTGACCATGCCGGGCACCCCCCTTGTCTCGGCAGCAGTCGCCACAGAAGAGTTTGCAGCGGACGCTGTCCGACGAGAGTCTGTGCAGCGGGCGGCGGGAGCCGAGCTTCGCCAGCCCTGCCGGCCTGGAGGCGGGCCTGCCCAGCGACGTGCTCTTCACCAGCACCTGCGCCTTCCCCTCCAGCACGCTGCCCGCCCGCCGCCAGCACCAGCACCCCCACCCGCCTGGCGGTGGCCCCAGCACCATCCCTGCCACCGCCAGCAGCTTCCCAGAGAAGAAATGTGAGTCTGGGCACCCGGGGGCTGGCGGGGGCGTCACCCCAGGGTCGCGAAGCAGGGGGCCAGGTGTGCGGGTCGCCTAGAGGTCAAAGGCTAGAGGGCATCGGTGTCAGAGTCCGCTGAGGGAGGGAACTGGGAGGCACACGAGCCTCAGGGGGCCCTGCGGGTGGGCACTGACCAAGGGATCGTTGGCCAAACCTCGGGGGATCTCCTGGGTCACCTGGGAGTCTGAAGCACGCAAGGATTGCGGTCCTCTGACACCAAAATGGGAGGTCCCTCCAGGTGCAGACTGGAGGGTGCATCACTGAGCCTCGGGGGTCCGCATCAGCCAAACCCCCACCCCTGCTCCCTGCCCAGCACGAAGCAGATACTTTGTGAGTGTTGATCTACCTTTCAACCTCCCCACGTCTGCCAGCTCTCCAAGTGAGGGGGTGCAGTTTGTGGCTCATCCATCCCTTTATCCATCCAGCAAATGTTCACTGAGTGTCCCCCAAAAAGGCACTGTGTGCACGGCCCCCATCAGGAAGTCTCAGATTCCTTCTCCACGTCGGAAGGTTGCAAACCAAAGGGTGGTGTGGAAGGCAGGGCGACACTTCCTGGGCAGCGTGAAGAGCAACGAGAGGCTCTGTGGTCCTTTACCCCACAGCTAGGAAGGCTCCGTCGCCTCCCTGCGGGACGCTGGGTGGTGAGGACAGGTGCTGCCTGGCCTCTCTGGGTGTGGTACGTCATGCAGACAACTCCGGACTCCTGAGACGCGTCTCCCGCAAGAGTGTCCACTGCGGGGCTGAGTCCTATACTGTCCAAACAGAGCATCACAGGGTGGGATGGAGGAGGCTCTAGGACATTTTTGAAAGGGTCTGTCTCCCCACCTAAAATTCTCCCATTGGCTCCCTGTTGCCCTGGTGTTTCAGGGTCCCACCTCAGCTCCCAGACTCCACAGTTCCCTCCTTGAGACCCTCCATTCCACCAGACTCTCCCTCCTCAGGGCATTCTACGTAGCTGTTCCCTCTGCCGGCCATGCTGTGCCCCCAGCTTTGTTCTCGGTAACTCCTGCTTCTCCTAAGGCTTTGCTCAGTTTTTGCTCTTCCCTGGAGGTCTGTCCTACGCCCCAAGTGGGGTCATCTCCCCATCTTACACTCCAGAGCACGCACCCACCCCTTCGTTACCTTCATTCCTCAATGCTGTGGGCCAGGCTCTGCTCCAGGCGCTGGGCGCACAGCGGTGAGCGCGTCAAAGAACAGCCCTGCCCAGTGGGGCCGAGTTTCAGTGGGAATTTCTCGAGCTTCCCTAAGCTTCCCTCTGCATCTCCTCTCTTTGCCTCTCATCCTTACTGCCGTGTCTGTGCCTAAGGGAGAGGCACAGACGAGACAGACTGGAATGCCACTGACTCGCTCTACCTCATCCTTTCATCTCAACTCAGATTCTGCCGCCACCTCCAGGAAGTCCTCCCTCCCCCACTGCCCCTTGATTTGCCCCCATCCCCTCCCTGATCCCTCTGCCTTCTGTTTCCCCATCATAACCCCATTCAGTCTGGGCTGTCACTATGTGAGAATGGGTCTGTCTCCTCCACTGGACCAGAGATGCCCTAAGAGCAGAGCCCTCTGTCTCTGCCCATCTGACTCCCCGTCCCCACCCCCACCCCCGAGCCTGGGAGAGTGGCATCTGCCCTCAGCACAGCCGGAGTCCTGGGCCTGGGCTTCGCCAAGGAGCAGTTCACAGCAGCACCCACTGCCTCCTCGCTGGGCAGCCCCAGCCAGCTCTCAGCGGGATGAGGCAGGCTGGAGACTCCGAGCACAGCGGTGGTCAGGGCCTTAGTGGCGTTCCCCCGAGTGTTCACTTATCCAGCAGAGAGCTGGGCCACCTGAGTGCGGCCCAGGTCCCCCACTCACAGGTGTCACCTCTCTGCCTGTTGCTTGGATGGTAAAATGTGGGCTAAAAAAAAAATCAGAATCAAACAAGTTAGTGCGTGGAAAAGCTAGCGTAATGCCTAACATGTAGTAAATCCTGAAAAAAACAGTAGCTATTCATTTTTTTTGTTAGCATTTTATCATCTGGAGCAGGCATTTTAATCCGTCACGAGTCAGGTTTGTGCCTGAGAACAGGGTTCCAACATTGTCGAGAGCGAGCCTCGATGTCCCCCTCCACACAACACGGGGTCATGATGGTACCTTCTCCTCACTAAGTGGAGGCGAGGCTGTTAGATGTCCCCGTAGCACCCAGCACAATACCTGGCAATAGGACACACTCGGGACACAGAGTGGGTCCGGCTTAGCCAGGCCCAGCCCTTCCTGCCCGAGGCACCTGCTGGCCTCTCTGTGCCTCACTGTCTTCCTCTGTCCCCTCCCCTTTAGGGGCTGTGAGACATCAGTGAGCTGAAGTGCAGGATCTAAGCCCGGCACATGGGACTTACTCAGTGGCTGCAGCAAATGCTGCTGTTAGCGCACTGCCTGTGCTGTCTCCTTCAGCACCCTCAGAGTTCAGGGGCTTCTTTCTCTGCCCAAACTCACCAGGTCTCCCCATGGTGACCCAAAACACTGTCCAGACACAGACCACCCAAAATATATCTGGCAGTCGCTCCTCCGTTCCAGACTCCCACGGCCAGCGCCATCCCCTGGCTCCTTGTGCGCATCTCACGGCATCTCACATTCCAGGCCTCCAGGAACAAACTTTGATCCCACCCCCAGTCTTCCCCATCTCGGTACCAGCTCCAAACTCTTGACGTCATCCTGGACCCGTCTGTCTCACACCCACATCCACTCTCAGGAAATACTGTTGGTTCCACCCACAATATAAAGCCAGGATCTGCCCACTTGTCCCTCTATAGCCCCACTTGGTCCTGGGCCATCACAGCAGCCTCCTCCCTGCCTCCCGGCTCCCACTCCACCTCCACCATCTGTCCCCTGAGCAAAGCCAGAGGGACCCTGTGAACACTGCACTGGGTCACATCCCTCCCTGCGCAGAGCCGTCCTGGGGCTCCATCTCACTCGGGAAGGGATGAAGGCCTCATCGCGGCCCACAAGGCCCCACGCAGTCCAGCCCTGCCACGTCTGACTTCACCTCCCACCACTCTCGCTCTCGTCTGTCCCAGCCACGTGGGCTGCCTCAGTGTTCCTTAAGGCGACGGGCACCCTCCCGCCCTGGGGGCTTCGCACTGGCCGCTCCGTCTGCCCGAATGCTCTTCTCACGGTGCCTCCCGGCTCGCTCCCTCCCCTCCTTCAGAGCTCCGTGCAGCGCCATCTTCACAGCGAGGCCTCCCCAAGTACCAAGTTTAAAATCATACCCACATAACTGTCTGACACGCCTCCCCTCCCCTACCCTGCTAGATGTTTTCTCTGGCATTTGTCATCTAATAAGTATAGCGTATGTTTAATTATATTTAATGCTATAACAATTACATAATGTTGCATAATTACATATAAAGCATAAAGCAGTGCATTGGCTCCTTTGTTTCCTCTGCATGGTCATTCTTACCCATCTCCCCGTCTCCACTCTCCCCACCCAGCCACCATCTCAGCCTCGGAGCTCTCGCTGGCCGATGGGCGGGACCGGCCGCTGCGGCGCCTCGACCCCGGGATGATGCCACTGCCCGACACGGCTGCTGGCCTCGAGTGGTCCAGCCTGGTCAACGCAGCCAAGGCGTACGAGGGTAGGCACCCCGCACCAGACCCTGCCCCTCTGTGCTCTAGAGGGATCACTGGAGGGCCTCGGAGCTTCGAAGGGGGGATGCGCTCGGGTTCCAGAATCAGGGTGAGCAGGGGACACTTCCTTCCCTATTACTCACTGTCTTCATTTCTCTGATCTCCATTTGTCTACAAATAAGGGACGTGAGTGTGCCCACAGCGTGCATACAACACGTTAAGCACGGAATGAGCCCTCAACAGGTGGCCCCCTATTTTATTATTACAGGGCAAAATTGTAGCAATCCAAATTGCGATTAGCTTTTCTTTGGCCGCAAGTGGCAGAAAATCCAAGTTAACAGTGACTTAAACACAGCGTTTTACACAGGTGAAAATGCCCAGGGCGGGCCTCCCGGGGCAAGTGTGGGACTCCACAGAGCACGAAGGCGCGGCTGCCTCGCCCTCAGTGGGGCTGCTGGGGTCCTGGCCACGGCGTCCAGCTCTCACCAGCAGGAGAGAGAAGGACACGTCCCTCCCTCAGGATACTCCCCAAGGCCTCACTCCTACGCTTACTTCCACTGGCCAGTCACACACAGCCACGCCTAGCTGCAGGGCAGGCTAGGAAATGAGGCCATGTGCCCAGCTAAAATTTGGGATTTATTACTAGAAAAGGAAAACAGATCATCAGGCACAGCTAGCAGTCTGCCATTTTCTTCCCATGTGGCCGTGGACAAACGGCTTTACCTTCCTAGGCCTCTGTTTCTTCATCTATAAAGTGGGACTCTTGGGATCCCCAGCAGACACGAACATATTCTTCTGGCTCATTTTTTATTCTTTAGGCCACAGCTTTGCTGTCCTTCCTCCAGGAAGCCCTCCCTGATAGTCTGGATCAGGCACCTCCTTGGGCTCCCACAGCCCTGACCCCTCTACCTGCCCCCCACATCCCTGCCCTGACCAGTCTGGGCTGTCGCTGTCTAATGATGGGTATGTCTCCCCACTGGGCCAGGAGGACAGGGCCTGGGGCTGTCACCACTCGGTGCCCAGCACAAGTCTAGCACAGATTGATTAAACCAGACCCATATAGTCCTTCATTTTTCCACAATGAGCCAGTCCACATCTGGCGGGTGGCCCTGGAGGAAACCCTCGTTTACTTCTGTCCATTGTCTCCGTCCTGTCCCGCAGCCTCCCCTGACCACAGGATGAAGGCAGTCCGACCTCTAAGGGAGGCCGGCAAGGGGGCAGGGAGAGGGGTCAGAGCATACGAGGCCTGGCCTCTGGTCTCCCCCAGCCTTACACTTGGGAACCACTGGGCGGTGGCTGCCAGGCAGAGGCCCAGCCTGCAGGTGGGTGTGACCTCCAGAGACCCCACAGGCTGGGCGGGGGAGGGGTGACCACAGCCACGATGATGGTGACATTCGGAGCATCCCCTCTAGCCGGTGCCCCATCACTTCACAGACAGCGTCTCTTCCGGTCTCCAGTCTGAGGACTGGATTAGGGCTCCCACTTACAGACGAGGAAACTGAGGCTCGGCCACCTGGCCAGATTGGACACTTTCAACATGTGCAGTTTATTACCTGTGAGTTAAACCTCAGCAGAGAGGAGTATTGCAGGATGAAAAAGCAAAGGAAGGGCAGGCGAGGAAACCAGTCGGCTGGGAATTGTCGAAACGGATGGCGGGTTTGCGAGGGCTCGTGGTGCTGTTTCTCTGCTGTGGGGCATGCGTGAAATTGTTCATAGAAAAATATTTTCAAAGAGAATAGATATTAAATCCAAGATAGAAAACAGCAGCTATAAAGGATATTATTTAGAGAATTGGGGAGATTTCAAGACAGTCGTCCTGTATAAATGTGAACTTTCAGAGTGTCCTTACGTGTTGGAGAAGTGTAACAAACTCCCCTGATGCTGGCAGTTCACTCTCACGGGAATGTGCGCACACGCAGACACAAGCGAGAAAGAATAAATGCGGCCAAGTGTTAGCAGCGGGATCTGAGTGGAGCGTGTCTGCGTTTTGACTGGTCTGTCCTGCGAGCAGAGAAACGTACAGTTGATCAGGAGCCGCCTTTGCCGGTGGCAGTGCGTGTCCAGCACGTGCTTCTCGGCTCCTGGTGGGCCCCGTCCCTTGGGGCACTCACGCAGGCCCACTCCTGGGTTTTCACCCCCCTCACATTCCCTCGTGTGGCGACATATCCCAGGGCTCACTGAGCTGGCAGCTCCTTGGTGCATCGGGGCTGTCGCCAGTTCTGGCCTTTACAGAAAGATCCCCTAATGGTCCCCGCCGCAGCGTGTCTGGGGGACCCATCGTCTGCTTCCACCAGCAGCCCGGCGATTTCCTTCCCTCCTCAGCGTCCGTGGTGCTGTGTCGTGTTTCTGTCTGCGTTTGGAATTTCACAGACCTTCTCGGAACCAGAGTGCAGTGAACCCTCGCGTACTCGTCACAGAGCCCCAGCCCCTCCACTTGGGGCCGTTTTTTTCCTGCCATCTACTTGTTGATGAAAGCAGGTCATTTGTGCTGAGAACGGGCCAGGTTCTGAACCGGGTTGTTTACTTCCCCACACTGTCATTTAACTTGTTTCTCCCTTGAATTTTGTCGAAACGGGTCGTTGTGTCTAGAGGCTCACTCAGAATCGCGATGGCACTTTGGTTGGGTTGTATGGCAAGAATGCCCCCACAGTGCCCGTGTGACGGGGGCGTGGTCGAGGTTCGAGCGGGCGGGGCGGGGCGTGGGGAAGACGCGGGGACCTGGCGCCCTGCTGACCGTCTCTCCTCTCTGTCCGCCAGTGCAAAGAGCCGTCTCGCTGTTCTCTCTCAACGACCCAGCCCTGAGCCCGGATGTGCCACCTGCACACAGCCCTGTCCACAGCCACCTGAGCCTAGAAAGGGGGCCCCCGACCCCCAGGACCACTCCAACCATGAGGTGAGGTTCTCCTGGGAGGACCCAGGGGCCCAGCAACCCGAGTCCCTGCAGGCGGCAGGCCTGCGCAGTGCAAGAAAGACACCTGGGTGACAAGTAGTTGCTGCAGGTCACCTGCCACCCTGCCTGCAGTAGCCGGGCAGCGGCTCCTCCCTCACCTCATGGATTGGAGTTCTCTGGGCGCTGGGCCCAGCAGCGACCTGGTCAGAGGCAGCCCCGTCCTCAGGGTGGGGTGTCCACACGCTGTAATCAGTACCCACAGTTGCTTCACTTCCAGCTTCGAAAAATGCTAAGTTGTGCCCCCCCGCCGCCCCCGTCGTCCGCTCTGTCTGCTCCTGGGTCACTTCCTCTGCACATTCCCAAACGGCGCCTTCCAGCTTCGAAAAATGCTAAGTTGTGCCCCCCCCCGTCGTCCCCTCTGTCTGCTCCTGGGTCACTTCCTCTGCACGTTCCCAAACGGTGTGAATCTTAACCTGACATTCACCTTTCACCTCGTCCCTAGCAAGTCCCTGCTGGGCTCTCTGGGGACCTGGGGGTGATTGAGATGGGAACCTTGCCCTCATCAGGCTTCCTGGCAGAGGGAGGAGGACAGCGACAGACATGTCGCATTTGTCATCTTTGCACTGTCTTGGCAGGAAATAAAATTTAAAAGAGGGAGAGAGAATGGAAATGGCATGTTTGCAAGTCATGGATGTAAATAGCGCGTTTCACACTCGTGTGCACACCTCCCCGTGCAGGCCCGTGCCATGCTCTGGACCTTGTGGGCAGTGTAAGCGATCGATTTTTCAGGGTCATTTTGACTCTTGTTTGCGTCCCACGCTGGCTTCAGGACACAACCTCCACCAAAATGCAGCCCGACAGTAATTACAAAAGCTCGGCAGTTAGAGATGGTGCCACCGCTGTGGCGAGGGCCGGAACAGTGCAGGTGGAAATGGAGGGACCTGCGGCCTCTGGGCACGCTCCTGGATTCCCGTCGCCCCTGAACTGGCGACCTTCTACCTGCCTCCCACCTCCCCCTGCAGCTGCTGGTCCCCAAGATCCAGGACCTGGAGGAAGGAAGGGGGCGAGAGGGCCGAGTCCTCTCTCCTCCCTGGGCTGAGACGCCTAGCCTCCCTTCGTCTGCTGCAGCCCACCCCCCTCGCCTGCCTCCCACCACGCGCAGTGGAGCCTCCTGCAGGAAGGGGCTGCCCGCTCTCTGCAGGGGCCCGGCAGGCCCAGTGCTGGACGATCTGTGCAGATCAGTCCTGTTTCTGTTGGTCCCGTCCACAGGGCGGGCCCTCACGTTGGTTCGTCCACTACCGTGCCTCGTGTGCTGGAACAGTGCACAGGCCTGGCCGGGGCACCGTGGATGTCTGTGGGACGGGTCGTCTCGTGCCACATGAGGGTCCCCCATAGGATCAGTTTCTCTCTAAGCACGCGCAGCCCGTCCTCCGGGGAAGGCGCACTCCAGGGCAGGCACACGCACAGCCGTCACACGCACAGCCGTCACCGGGCCTGGTGCTCCCATGACCCCATCCACACGCACAGGTGTCCTCGCTGGGTGGAGCGTGGCCAGGAGGGCCGGCTTCTGACTTCCCCCAGAGCTTCTCCTCCACACTCCTGGGGCCTCCCTGGAACCCCGGAGATGAGAGGGGCCTGACCTTGTCCGCTGTCTTTGCAGCGAGGAGCCGCCTTTGGATCTGACAGGCAAGGTGTACCAGCTGGAAGTGATGCTGAAGCAGCTGCACACGGACCTGCAGAAGGTAAGGCCACCGGGCAGCGCCTCGGGCAGCCCGCGCCTGCCCCATCCGCTTCCCAGACACCCGGGGACAGCAGGGCCGAGGCACCTGTCCCTCCCGCCCCTTCTACTCAGGGAGGCCACCCAGCCTCGAACGTAGTCATGAATAAAGAGCAAGAGGTGACACTGCCGAAGGCTGGTGAGCACACGTCCTTGGCGCCAGAATAAACTGGCCTAACCTTTTTGGGGGGGGCATTTGGACAATATCAGAAATGGCGTTGCGCACCGTGTCGACCCAGCCGTCCCACTCGTGGGAATCTGCCCCGCACAGTTTCACACATGAGCATAAAGAAAGCCGTGAGCAAGGACGTTCAGTGCTGCGCTGCTGGCAGGAATCAGTGGAGCCCGTGCAGCTGCCCCTGCACAGAGCGCGACATAAATGACGGGCCACCCGCGTGAGCAGGACATTCTGTAGCCAAGTGAAATAATCACAGAACTCTCTTTACTGATATACAAAAGGAGTCTAGTAAGTAACTAAACAAGCTGTAGAACTGTTCTAGGACATCATCATGCTTAAAAAATAAAGTTTAACATCCATGGGCGTTTAATATTGAACACATCCAGAGGACTCCCTGGGAGGCAACAGTTAAGTTATTGTATTTATCTCCAGGGTGTGGCAGAGTGAGGAGAAATAAGGGCAGAGGAGACTTCTACTTGTCAGTTTATATACTTTGGGGTAAAAGGCACAAAGTGGCAGCATATAATATGCGAGGCTCAAGCACAGGGATCACAAGGGATCACAGGGCCCAGGTTCAGATCCTACCCCACCACTTAACGTGACCTTGGACAAGTCACTACCTCTGAGGGTTATGTCATCCTGCAAGGGCGTCTCCGGGGAGGCGGCGGAGCCCACTTAAGCAGCCCCTTGTCCATACCCCAGCTACTATTTGCCGTGTGGGGCTGGGTCTCCCCAAGTCCTGGGGTGGTTTTGAGGGTGACGTGTGTGACTTCAGGGAAACCTTTCAACCACCCGTATTAGAGTCGAGGCAGCTGGGCCCAGAGAGATGACATAACTTGCCCGGGGTTACCCAGCTGTCAAGAAGCAGAGCTGGGCTTTGGACCCTGGCAGCCCAGCTGTAAACCACAGCCGAGCCCTGGCTCACAGGCCCTGGGGAGCCATTGGCCGCCCCCTGATGCCCACCCCACCCCCACAGGAGAAGCAGGACAAGGCAGTGCTGCAGTCGGAGGTGGCTAGCCTGCGGCAGAACAACCAGCGGCTGCAGGAGGAGTCCCAGGCTGCCAGTGAGCAGCTGCGCAAGTTCGCCGAGATCTTCTGCAGGGAGAAGGAACTCTGAGGTGGGGAGGCCACCGCCCCTGCCCCTCTGCCCAGGCAGCTGGGGACTCCTGGTTGCAGGTGTGGCCAAGGCACTCCACCAGGGCCCCACCGCACCCCCGTGGACACAGAAACCTGAGGGAGGCCTCACCGGGGCTGTGAGCTGCAGTCTGCTCATGGCCCTCGAGCCTCAGTGGGTGACATGGTCTCAGGCCTCCCTTTGAACTGGTCATCTCTGGTCCCTGGGGGCCAGACCCTGGCCACACCAGTCCCAGGGGCCCATCCTGCCAGCCCCATCTAGCCTCTTCCTAGGACCAAGCCATCAGGAGCTGTAGGAGGGGGAGAGGGAGGGCAGGAGCAAGTCTGCTCCAGGAGTTCAGAAACCAGGCTTCCTCACCTCGGACAACAGAGTTGGGGCCTGTGGGGCCCAGCCCCCCCGCATGAGCTGTCACAGCGTGAGAGCAGCCAGAGAGGTCAGGGCCCCTGTGGAGATGGGAAGGCGCTCAGTCCCTGCTGCACCAGCTCCGAGAAGCACAGACATCATCCCCTCCCGATCCCATCCTTCCAAAAAGCGGCCAGGAGCACTTTCTTAGAACGTCAGTTATTTTGGGGGGTGGAAGGGTATCCCAGGATGGAGAGGGGAAACCGCAGCAGCATCCACAGTCAGCTGCTTTGAGGGGGCAGCGATTTGCACACCGTTTATACAGTCTTTTTCTATCAGCTCCTCAACCACCGGAGGCCACAGCGCCTGGGCCCCTCCGCCTTCGAGCTCCCGCCCCGCCAGGCCCAGCGGCAGAGCCGCCACGGCCACCAGCCGCGGCTGACAGCCACGGCCTCTTCCAGGCACCCCGAGGGGCGCACGGAGCCCCCGGGTCAGGGCTGGAGAGAAACAGCCTTCATCTCCGCTCCACTTTTGTTTTCCCTTTGCCCTCACGCAGTCCCCACGGAGGGGCAGACCTGGGACACCCGCGACACCCGCGCCGCACTCCCCAGGGAGCCTTTGCTGCGCAGACCGCAGGAGACGCCGGCCCTACAGCGGCGTAAGGGGCGGGGCCGGGCAGCCGCGTGGAACTGCGGTGTCCACCGAGCAGTTTCTTTTTTTCCTTTCAAAACAAACAAAATATATATATATATATATATTTATTTTTTCATGTAGAGTTGCACCAGAAGTCTGTATGGCCTCACTGTGTGGCGTCAACCTCAAAGTGAGGACCGAGGCATGTCCCCCGGGGGCTGGTGCTCAGCAGGACTCAGAGGGACAAAGTCAGGGTGGGCTGGCCGGTGGCCATCTCCTCGCCCCGCCCTGGCTGCTGTGCATGGGGCTGCAAGGCGGCCTGCTGGGCCCTCAGCCCTGGCCAACTACTGTGATGTCTGCCCCTCCCCCCAGGCCTCCCTTTAGGACGGTTCTCCAGGACCACCCCATCTCCCCGTTCCTCAGAACCTAACCTGGGCCTGCCCCCCCCCCTTTTTAAGTTGTCACCTCATATCTTCAAATCATTCTAATCATTTTGGGGACCTAATCGTGTACATTGACAAGTGTAAATTATCATTTTTGGTTTTGTTTCCTGTTAATTTTTAAGGATCTCTGCAAAACATATTTAATTTGAGGTTGGGGTTCTGTCTCACTGAAGATAGCAGCAGGGTTTTTCATATGTCGATTTCTTTCATTTGGATTTTTTATTCTTTATTGTCTTTTTTGTTTTCTACCCCCATCTTGAGATTTTCTGGCATGTTTCTGGAGGTTTCAAAGAAAATAAACGTTTCATAGAAATGGTTTCTGTGTTCACTTGCTGAGCTGCTGCCTGGAGTCACTGACGAGAGGGTGTGGTCCAGTGTCAGCCCCCTCCTCCTGGTGTACACACACACACACACACACACACACACACACACACACCCTCCCTCCCTCCCTCCCTAAAAACTAGAAAAACTAGGAATGCCAGCCTTGCAGACTTCTTTTCCTTGAAATCTAAATGACAGAAATTCAACATCAGAATGTAAAAAGTCCATAAGTTAAAAAGAGAGAGCTTCTACCTCAGAAGTCACATACGGGAGGCCTGAAAGCCAGGCCTGGCCCATGGAGTGGTGTTGGTTTTAGAATTAGTGGTCAACTTTGTAAAGTCTGGAAAGTGTACATAAAGCAAACCAGATTTGCAGCGTAACTCCCAGAGGCAGCAAGTCTCAGAACTAAGGGCCCTTGCCTCGAGGTGGTCGCCCAGGACTGCAGCCTGCCCCTCCCCAATGCAAGTCAGCTCGGCAGTGTGGAAGCCGCCCCTGCTTCCAGGGCCGGGCAGGGGTGGGGTGGGTGTGGGGGAGCGCAGCCAGGCGGAGGTGTCCTGGAAAGACACAGGCATCCTGCGACCTCAGCCCCCACCCAGGCCTTCCTCGAGGGGCCCTCCCAGCTGAGGGCTCTTAGACTCACGCCCCCAGATCTGCAGCTGCCCTGGTGGACACTTGCAGTTTGGCCCCAGGGATCAGGGTCCAGCTGATTTTCCACATCTCAAAATTCCACATGAAAATCCCAAGGTCTGGCCTCGGTCTGGCTCAGGCTGGATCTGAGCAGCCCAACCTTCTGACAAG